TTTTTTTTTTTTTTTGCTAGTTAAGTTTTGTTGCTTTTATTTGGATTTTTCTTCTTTCATCAAAATGTACAGTGGTTCCCTGAAAGGTCAGACTACTGAAAGTTGTATTTCAGTTTTTTACTCGCCAAAAGAAATCTCATATTTTGAAAATATCATGGATTGTTTAATTTGTTGATTTAAATTTTTAATTTGAGTTGAGATCTAATTTTATGTGAGAATTTTTTACTGTATCAAAAAAAATAGATGTGACTGTTTCTCAAAGTTTTTTACTGTAGCAAAACTCGAATTGGTGAAATGAACGGAATAGAAATCCCATATATTTTTTTTAAGGTCAATTTTGCTTCTTTCAAACATAGCGGAATCTTGATGTTTAGTATAATGATTCGTATTATAGTTTGAATTATAGTTCGTAGTTTGTTACAGTATTTTTTCTCACAAAAAATACACATAAATAAAAAATAATTCTGAATCATAGTTCTGAATCCGTGAATCAAATGAAGTTTCAAAGAAAATGTTTACAGAAGTTGGAAAGTACCATCTTCTTAAGTGTAGTATATTCTCACTCACAGACAGTTTAAAACTGACATCTTAAATTAAAATTTAACAGTGATAATCATGTATACATTGTGTGATACCTTTAAATTTTATCGAAATTATTACATTATATGTAAAATGTTATCTTCAGAAATGTTAAAACCCATTAAAAACTTGAATGCTTAATGTAATTATTAATTGAAAATTTTGGTTATTAGGCCATAGAGAGATGATTATTTGTGTTCAAAGGTCCCTTTTCAACTTAGTGTGAAGAACAAAAACTGTAAAAACTAGCGTGTTTGGAACCAATTCCTTTTTTATTTTTCACGTTTTTCAAAATAAAAAAATGAGATTGAGGGAAAAATCGTGTTTGGAGGAAAAAAAAGTAAGAAAATAAAAAATAATTTCATTTTTTAGTTTAGTGTAAAATCACTTAGAAAATGAAAACGATTTGAAGTTATTTTTCATTTTTTATTTTCATTTCTTTGGGTATATGCCTTTTTTTTGGGCAGGTGGATAAAAATTATATAACTAAACGGAGTTTTAGTTTTTTTTTTTTTTAAACTGAAAACCATTTATTAATAAAACTAGCAAACGCATTTTCGAAAACGACTTATGTCTGAGATTAAAAACGTTTTCATTTCCAGTTTCATACAAAAACAAAATCATTTTGAAACTAATTCCAAATGCACCCTAAAGTTCTGAGAGTAATTTTAAAAAATTAAAAGTTTATAGACCAAAGTATTACAAAGCTTAAATTTCAAAACGGAGGACGCTCTCTCTCCCTTGGTTCTTTCTCTAAAACACCCAAACAACTAGAGCTTTCAGGTTGGAGGTCTGGCGCATCGCCGGGCATCTAGCCACTAAATTTCATCCAACTTCACAACAAGATAATCTACAAAGTGATGGACTTCATGCAATTGAGGAGCTACCTTTTCGTTGGATCTAGACCATGAAGAAAAAGGGTTCTTTGTGGTTTTACGCGATCTTTCTAGGGTGTTTGCTGGCCATTGACTTTGCAACTTAAGGGACAGACTCGAAAAAGGAAGGCACTCGAAGATCTCCGGCGTGTTCGTCAAATGGCCGTCGTTCTCGACGGTGCATGGGACCCACATGTGCTGGTGCCTTGGTGGCGCGTGGGGTGGCATGGCTGCACCGCATGTCTCTGGGTTCTTCCAGCCGCTTGCTCGCGGTGTTATGGCCTTCTCCGGCCAAGTTTCAATTGTTGGTTGTGGATTTTTATTGCATTTTTATGGTTACTGTTTATGTTAGTGTTGTAACAACGGTGATGGTTTCTCATCAACCGGTGTTTTAATTCATCTAGATGATGGTTTTCCCACCATTTTTTGTTTGTGTTATGTGGTTTTGGGCCACTTTGGGACTAGAATGTTGTTCATATTGAGTCAATCTATATGGACGAATCTTGTTTTTGTACCACTTATTGCAGCTTTCTTTGTTGTTGGGTTAGGGGTGCATTTGTATTTCCAAATAGGTATAATCGGCTTGCGTGGAACCAGTTTCATCTTAATTTCGTGTACTGTTTCCTAACTCTTTAGTGGCTCTTTAATAATATGTTTTTCTTTGATTAGCAAAAAAAAAAAGAAATAAAACAATGCTTAAATTTCAAATACTAACAGTGCTAATAACATTTTTTCCCTTACCCTACCAAAGTACTCTACATTAAAGTGATTAACAATTGACCAAGGGCTGTTTGGGGAATGGGATCTGGGCCCTCTTTCTAACTGATTTAGTCATGCTTTTATGGCTAAGAATTGACTAGTAATGGTAACCGGACGAGTTTGGGATGGGTTGATGTGGCGGGAACGGATTTATAAGGTAACGTTTTGTTCATAAATTCAAAATCATGATACATGATTCTGATTTTTGAAATTTAAATTTTTTATGAAAGAAAAATACTGTAGAGAATCATAAACTATGATTTAGAAGCATAGACGAATATATAAAACAAACATCCCCTAAGTGATTGAGGCTCAAGGAAAATTTAGAGGTAATTTAGATATTAAGGAAAACGACGTATTGGGGGCAATAGTAGTTACAACAACACAACCGGTACAACATTCATAATAAAACGTAAACAATAATAAAAACTTCATAAAAGCATTTATTTAAGACAATATTTACTAGTAAATAATGTTAAAAGTTGCAACACCAGCATGCACGTGTTGTGGTCTTATTTGACCAAGTTATAAGCGTAATAATTAGTGGGATTAGGTCCTACCGAGTCTAGTGTTAGTGGATCTATTTGTTATTCTAGTTTCCTACTCATGTGTGAGTGGGCTCATGGCTGTTACCGAGTTTGTAGCTATTTTCAGCTAGCTTAGTTGTTCAGCTGTTTCACTAAGTTTGTTATTCTTATTTGTTTCTTAGTGGTCAATTGAGTCTTGTTAGTGGTGTTAGTGGAGTCGTGACAGTATAAGAGATTGTGAGAGAAAACTTCACAACGTGGACTCATCTTGTGTGCCTATATAAGGCAATTAATTCCACCCAATGAATTGTTCTTCACTGTATCTATTTATTGTTTTGTGAGATTCTTTTAGCAAGTGCACTTTTCTTCTATTCAATTATATTGTCTTTTGTTCCTCTCGTGTTCAATAGTGTTGTATCAGAGCAGGACGATCATGGGCATCATCTATTAGTTTGGTGAGTTTCTTCCCTACCGACACGATGAGCGATCTTCAAGCTGTTGGAGGAGTCAAAAAGCTCAACAACCAGAATTACAATACTTGGTCGACATGCATGATGTCTTACATGCAAGGCCAAGATTTGAGAGAGGTTGTCAATGGAAGCGAAGTTACGCAACCGGAGGCAGAGGACGCAAACGGTATGTTGCGGAAGTGGAAGATAAAAGCGGGCAAAGCGATGTTCGCTTTGAAGACAACAATCACAGAAGATGTGCTGGAACATATCCAGGATGCTAAAACCCCAAAAGAGGCTTGGGATACATTCGCCGCGCTTGTCTCAAAAAAGAATGACACGAGCCTTCAACTTTTAGAGAATGAACTATTGTCAGTAGCGCAACGCGACATGATGGTCGCTCAATACTTCCACAGAGTAAAGTCGATATGCCGCGAAATTTGCGAGTTGGATCCACAAGCTTCGATCGGGGAAACCAAGATAAAAAGAATAATTATTCATGGTTTGAGACCCGAATATAGAGGTTTTGTAGCTGCAGTATAGGGATGGCAAAATCAACCATCACTTGTTGGGTTTGAAAATTTGCTTGCCGGTCAAGAAGCTATGGCTAAGCAAATGGGAGGAGTTTCGTTGAAAGGTGAAGAGGAAGCGCTCTACGCCAACAAAAGTAGATGGAATTCCAAGCAGCACGCCGTCAGTGGATTTGAAAGAAATGAGGACAAGGCAAAAAGTCATCAAGGCAAATGAAGCACTCATTCAGGGGGAGCTTCGAAGAATCGTGGCAACGGTAAAAAGTTTGAAGGGAAGTGCTACAATTGCGGAAAGAAGGGACACATGGCGAAAGTTTGTTGGTCGAAGAAAAGGTCCGTGGAGAGTAACGCTACTACTTCCAAAAGTGATGATGAATGGGATGCTGAGGCATTCTTTGCTGCAGAAGAGGAGGAGTTAGCTCTCACAGCAACAGCGTCTCAACAGCTTGATTATGAGAATGATTAGATCGTTGACTCGGGCTGCTTTAATCATATGACGGGTAATAAAGAAACGCTACAGAATTTATCAGAGTACAAAGGAAGCCAAGTGGTGGTGACAGCTAACAACTCAAAGTTACCGATAGCTCATATCGGTAATATAGTAGTCTCTCCCCAATATAGTGCGAATGAGGTGTCGCTTCAAAATGTCTACCATGTCCCAGGTATGAAGAAAAATCTTCTTTCGGTAGCACAATTAACATCTTCAGGCCATTTTGTTCTATTTGGTCCACAATATGTGAAGGTATATCGCGACCTTGAGATTATAGAAGAGTCGGTGATGAAGGGACGAAGATTAGAGTCCGTCTATGTGATGTCTGCAGAAACCGCATATGTAGACAAAACGAGGAAGAACGAGACGACAGACTTATGGCACATGTGGTTAAGTCACGTTAGCTATTCCAAGCTAAATGTGATTATGAAAAAGTCGATGCTGAAGGGACTCCCCCAACTTGAAGTAAGAACGGACACAATCTGTGCAGGGTGTCAGTATGGAAAAGCACATCAGTTGCTGTATGAAGAGTCCAAATTTAAAGTAAAGGAAACATTAGAGTTAATTCACTCTGATATGTTTGGACCTATTAAGCAAGTGTCCATCGGCGGGATGAAGTACATGGTGACCTTTATGTTGAGAATAGTGTCCTAGAAGCATGAGATGTAATAGGATATTTATTATTTAATTAATAAAAGAGTTTATTCATAATTTTATGTGCATATATTTATGAATATTTTATGAATATCAAATAAAAATTCCGTGATTGTTTATGTAACCTTAAACATAGTATATAAGTGTTATATACGAGAGGATAGTGTTTAAGGATAATAGTCAAACTTAAATTAATTTGAATTCTAAATTGAACAACTTATCATATAAAATATGAGAATGATAGAAAATTGTGGATACAATTTTTGAAATATTTTTTATTCAGCCCTAAAAGTTGGTGGCCGAATTTCTCAATAGCAAAAGAGAGAAAATATTTTTCTCCAAAAATTCCACATCGTGCATGCGTTGGTGTTTGTGAAAATTCGAGTGTTTAAGAAACCTATTTTGTCTCACGTATGCCCACACACACGTCTACGTAGAATCAAGGAATTGACGTGGAAAACTTTGGTATTCTAAACACAAAGATTGGAGCAAGGACTGTTCGTGGTCAAAGAATTTAAGTTATCATCCGAGTCAGCTTCCAGGTATTTTTCCAGATTGAATTCTTGATGTAAATTAATGCGATTAATTTATTCGTGCATAAATTAATATAATCTATAGAGTATCTCAAAAGTTTTATGAAAATTTTTGTTATACACGATCCGCCTTTCCCCACGCTTCCGCACCCGAATTCAATTCGGGAACCAACACTTTATTGATGATTTTTCTAGGTATGTGTGGGTTTACTTTATGAAGGAAAAATTTGAAACATTTTTTAAAGTTTAAAGAGTTCAAGGAGGCAGTTGAAGTAGAAGTTAGTAAGAGAATTCGTTGCCTGCGCACTGACAATGGGGGAGAGTATACGTCAGATGAGTTCTCCGATTTCCTTCGGGAGTTCCAAATACGCCATCAATTCACATGTCCAACACTCCACAACAAAACGGCGTAGCAGAAAGAAAGAACAGGCACCTGGCAGAAATTTATCAATGTATGCTTCATGCGAAGAATGTTCCGGGACGATTTTGGGCAGAAGCAATGAAGACTGTAGCTTTTGTCATTAATAGGCTTCCTCAACAAAGGTTATGTTTTCTTTCACCCTTTGAAAAATTGTGGAGCATGAAACCTACAGTTTTCTATTTTCGAGTTTTCGGATGTGTATACTAGGTATTTTTTCCTGATCTTTTACGCAGCAAGATTGACAAAAAAGCTGTTAGGTGTATTTTTGTGGGATATGACAGTCAAAGGAAAGAGTGGAAATGTTGTAATCCTACAACTAGGAAGTGCTACACATCACGGAATGTGGTGTTTGATGAAGTGTCTTCATGGTGGTCCTCAGAAAAGGAGACATTACCAAACTCAAGTGTTTTCAAAGATAAGTTGGAATCTACTCAAATTCGGTTGAGTTTAGGTGAAACTGAAGATGTAGATAATGGATGTGATATCGAAGAAGGCGTAGCTCAAAGTCCTTGGCAAACTGGTGTGTATCAACGACCAAGCGAAGAAGGCGAACCTAGTGAAGCAGAAGTACCAACTCAACTCAGAAGATCAACAAGAATCAGAAAGTCAAATCCCAAATATGCCAATGCTGCCATAGTAGAAGAAGTAGATGCAAAAGAACTAGAGACACATGAGGAAAGCATTTCAAAATCTGGAGTGGACTAAAGCTATGGAAAAAGAAATTGCTACATTAGAACAAAATCAGACTTGGGAGCTCGCGCCAAAGCCAAGAGAGGTGAAGCCTATTTCTTGCAAATGGGTTTATAAAATAAAGTGTCACACAGATGGATCAATTGAAAGGCACAAAGCTCGTTTGGTAGCTCGGGGGTTTACTCAACAGTATGGACTAGACTACGATGAAACGTTTAGTCCAGTTGCAAAGCTTACAACTGTGCGAGTCTTACTGGCACTTGCAACTAGCAAAGATTGGAACTTGTGGCAGATGGATGTGAAAAATGCATTTTTGCAAGGAGAGTTGGATCGGGAGATCTACATGACTCAACCAATGGGTTTTCAAAGTAAAGATCATCCTGAATATGTGTGTAAACTACGGAAGGCACTCTATGGGTTAAAGCAAGCACCGAGGGCTTGGTATGGTAAGATTGTTGAATTTCTGACTCATAGTGGTTATTCGATGACACCTGCAGATTCTAGTTTGTTTGTCAAAGATAGTGAAGGGAAGCTAGCTATGGTGCTAGTGCATGTGGATGACTTAATCATAACAGGAGATTGTGAAGAAGAAATCCACCGGACAAAGAAGAATTTATCAGATCGTTTTTAGATGAAAGAACTTAGTTAGCTCAAGCACTTTTTTGGTCTAGAAGTTGATCACACTCAAGAAGGAATATTTCTCCATCAGCGAAAATATTCCAAAGATTTGTTGAAAAAGTTTGGAATGCTTGAGTGTAAACCAATTTCGACTCCAATGGAGCCAAACACCAAAATGTGTGCCCATGAAGGAAGAAATTTGGAAGATGCAGTGATGTATCGGCAATTGGTGGGTAGTCTGATCTACTTAACTTTACTAGACCTGACATATCTTATGCAGTTGGTGTGATGAGTCGGTACATGCAAAATCCAAAGAAGCCTCATTTGGATGCAGTTCAGCGAATTTTGAGATATGTGAAGAGCACACTTGGCTATGGTGTTTTGTACAAGAAAGGTGGAGATTGCAAGCTAGTTGGTTATTGTGATGCTGACTATGCAGGTGATCTTAATACCCGACGCTAAACTACCGGGTATGTTTTTATGCTTGGATCGGGGGCAATTTCTTGGTGCAACAAAAGGCAACCAATTGTGTCTTTGTCAACAGCAGAAGCGGAGTACCAGGCCGCAGCAATGGCAGCTCAAGAGAGTGCTTGGCTTATACAATTGTTGAAGGACCTGCATCAACCAACAGATTATGCAATTCCTTTGTATTGTGACAACCAGTCGGCGATACATTTGGTAGAGAATCCAGTTTTTCATGCAAGAACTAAACATGTGAAGGTGCACTATCATTTTATCAGGCAAAAAGTTCTACAAGAGAAAATTGGGTTGAAGCATATTGACACGGAAGACCAAGTTGCAGATTTATTCACAAAAGGCTTGAGCGCCAACAAGTTTGGAAGTTTCTGTCTACAGCTCGGCATGGTGAAGAAAATGGAAAGCTAGTGTTGAGGGGGAGTGTTAAAAGTTGCAACACCAGCATGCACGTGTCGTGGTCTTATTTGACCAAATTATAAGCGTAATAATTAGTGGGATTAGTTCCTACCGAGTCTAGTGTTAGTGGATCTGTTTGTTATTCTAGTTTCCTAGTCATGTGCGAGTGGGCTCATGGTTGTTACCGAGTTTGTAGCTGTTTTTCAGCTAGCTTAGTTGTTCAGTTGTTTCACTAAGTTTGATATTCCTATTTGTTTCTTAGTGGTCAGTTGAGTCTTGTTAGTGGTGTTAGTGGAGTTGTGGCAGTATAAGAGGTTGTGAGAGAAAACTTCGCAACATGGACTCATCTTGTATGCCTATATAAGGCAATTAATTCCACCCAATGAATTGTTCTTCACTGCATCCATTTATTGTTTTGTGAGATTCTTTTACCAAGTGCACTTTTCTTCTCTTCAATTATATTGTCTTTTGTTCCTCTCATGTTCAACAAATAATATTAAACATGTTTACTGGATTAATCATGTTTAGCTAAGTTAAACACATCTGAAACTAGGATGCTTATACTCACATCAATATTTCATGGACTTCATTTGGACCATACCACTAAAAAATAGAAAAAATAAATAAATAAATAAAAGAACAGTTCATCAAAACCATCTTATGATGTAACTGATCATTTGGCTATACCGCATTGAAGCAACATGAAGTATAAGATCCACAAGCAAATTCTTACGCACAACAGTAATTTACACTAACAAATATCCTTAAGCTTTAGGAGATTATTACAGTCCAATGCTAGAACCGCTGTGAAAGTTAATTTGGCGGAGATTATTACAATTCTGATTCACATATTGGCCTTTTTATGAGGCTGTCCTTGAAACTGCACAGAGAGGGAGGCCACCATCAATGTGAAGGGTGAACATGGTTTTATAGTTTACAGGTTCTGTGTTATCAGCTAATCCGAAGCGGAAGAAGCGAAGAAGGGCGATTGATAGAATCTTCATCTGCCGGTAAGCAAATTCCTTCCCAAGGCAGATCCGAGGGCCCGCCTGCAAAATCATTCCACAAGAAGAAAAATGAAAATATTGGTTTGCTTTCTATTTTATAGTTTCACGTAGAAAAGGGGTGATAAAACAATGTTACATACATGAAATGTTACGAACTTGAACGGCGATTCGGGTTGAAAAATTCCATCCTTGATCCATCTCTCAGGTCGGAAATCTTGGGCATCTTCTCCCCAAATATAAGGCATTCTGGCCATTGCATAGGCCATATAAAAGATTATATCTCCTTTTTTGACTTTAAAGCCATCAGGAAGAGTATCATCTATATCTGCACATCTGCCATCCTAAAAGAACACAAGAGACACCATGGTACTTTGGTCTTAGCAGTTTCTATGTGAAATTTCGGTCTTAGAGCCTTAACACAATCTTGGAAAACTTTAAAGCCATAAATAATTAGGCAACTTCAATAATTCCGGTCACAATAGGTTTCATCCAAATGCTATATTTCCATGTTTATGTTATAGTATGGTGGCACCAAATTAACAAGGCACTAAGTCTTATTATGCAACTGAAATATAGTGGACATTTGGTTAATGCGTGATTTGAAGGGCCAGTTCGTAAACAGACCTCTCTCCCTCTCTCTCTCTCTCTCTCTCTCTCTCTCTCTCTCTCTATAATTATGTGGCATTTCTAAATATAAAGCTTCAAATATGAACAACAGAAGTTAACTAAGAAATAGTCACATCAAGAAATTGGCCAGAAGAATTTACCACGGGGACTGCGGGGTATAGCCTCAAGGTCTCTGACAATGCTGCGTGAAGATAGTGCGTTCGCTCAAGAACTTCATCACTTATAGCTGCTACAAAATCGTCGATATTGGATTCGTTGTCATTGGCTTTATCACCAATGACATCTCTTATTTCTTGTACAATCTTTTCCTGTACTAAGGGGTTCTTGCTCAGCATATAGAAAAACCAAGAGAGTGTATTTGCACTAGTGTCTTTTCCAGCTACAATAAAACTCAGAATTATATCTCTCAGATATTTATCATTCATTTGCCCTGGATTCTTCTGACCCTCCATTAGAAACCTTGAAAGTATGTCCTCCTTTTCATTCTACAGCCAAAATTAACCAAACGAAACTTAAGAATACTAAAAAAAATTTCACAACACAAGAAACTGAATCATGAAGAAATACATACATATTGTGAAAGGATAGTTCAAATACCATTTTCCATGTTTTGACTAATATTATTTTTTTATCAAATGACATCATTAGTTTGTTTAGATCATGATATACCAACAGTTGAAATCTGCTTATAAATAATAGAAACTTACAAAGATTAATATTAGAGGGAAAAAAATGCAAAAACAAATGTTTTTATGCACAAACAAACATATGAAGAACGAGAGTGACAACATATGCAGAAAATGTTAAACTCTTGAACTCACAGAATCATGTCGCTCTGCTAACAGTTTCCTCTTTTTCCTGATAAGGTTGTTCACAAACTGATCAATGACTTTAACATTCTTCTTCAAGGGGGCTTCAGAACCAATGTCAAAAAATCTTTTCAATTTCCAGAATGGATCCACATAGCGCCAATATATCAGAGCATTTGACTCATCAAAGGCCCTCAGAAATTCATTCCCTTCTTTACTTGATCCGTCCAAGCAATTCAATTCTACCCCGAACCCAACTTCGAATATGGAATCCAATGTACTTCTCATAAACAAATCCTACAGAAAAGAAAATCATATAAGATAAAACTAGTGAAAGGGTATAGCTTGTACCAAAGCTAGGAATTGAAAATTTTCAAAATTCTATAATGTTGGACTAGCGATATTTGACGAACATAAAATGTCAAAGATTGATCTCCTCGGCCTACGTGTCATTCTCTTTCGGCTATTTTGTACTAACACTCCCAGAACATTTTGAATTTGACAATTTAGTCTAAACTTTTTTTCCCTGGCAATCAATACCCTAAACATATAGTTTTTGGCATTTTCAACCCTTGTTGCTCAAAACCTAACTTGCAAATGATAGGCTAATAAGGACATTGATGTTCATTTTTGTTTAGTTTCAAATCAAATACATTTTAAAACTTGAACTTAATTTAATTATAACTTAAACTTTAATCTAAATTTTAACATGAAATTTTATTAATACCAAATAAAAATATCATCAATGCGTTTCTTAGGTTGTCACTTGTAAGTTTGGCACAAAAAAAAATCAAAATTTTAACGAATTTTAGCAATAAAGACTAAAAGTGTCAAAAATTAAAAGTTCTAGGGTTGATTATTAAAAAAAAAGTTTAGGGACTAAATTGCTAAATTTAAAAAGTTCATGAGGTGTTCATACACAATAGCCTTCTCTTTCTATTCCTAGCTTGTTTGTGTAAGTCCTCGAAAATTAATATAAAAATTGTGATTTTATGTGCACTAGTTTGAAAAATGATGAGTTTTATTTTTTTAAGTGGGAATCCCATATTTCAAACCGTCAATTTAATAACGCGCATTAGTTATTTTTACCTTAATTGCTGCAGAATTAAAAGTTCAGTGTGTAATTTTAAAAGGAGAAAGGAGACAAATACCTCTTAAAGTGTATGAGTCTGAATTTTTACATATTACTCTTAATTAATATCATTTTTAGTAAATAACTATTTTAATCAAAAGGATATTAATCAAGAGTAATAAGTAAAAATCCAGATTCATGCATCTTAAAAGTAAGTTTAACAATTTTCTCTTCCTAAATTAAAAGTTTGGGATTTTTTAGATAAGAAACAAAATGTTTAGAATGCTAACAGTATAATTTACTCAAATAAAAAATGTTGTCTGGTAAGTAAAAGCCCCAAAAGAGAAGACTTCGTGAAAAAGACCCTAAATACACCTAAAGATGGTTCTTGATAGGTCTTGACCAAAATTACAGAACTGTAGAAATGAAAAGATGAAAACAATGAGTAGAAATTTTTTTTTTTTTTTAAATCCAACAGGGATAAAAGTGTCTATACACACATGTTAGACTGTCAGCCAAAAATGATCATAAGACATCCTAGATATTAGAATATGTACAAGATCAGAAGCCAACAATTTTTAGGAAGTTCTCCCAAAGCCGGACTAGGGGTAAGAATGTAATTTCACGCATATCAAGACCGTAGCAAAATGACCAAAAGGTATTTAAATATTTGGAATTAGCTCATTATACTTTATGTGTTTTATTCGTTGTGAAAAACTCAACACATATGTATAAAATATTTTTTGTATGGTTAAGGAGCTAAAATGTCAAATTTTATGGTTTGTTCATTTCACGACTCAAGAACTTGAGTTGTGTATGTTAGAGAAAAACGTTGTAATAAAAAAATTAAATTTAAATTTTTATGAGAGAAAATATTATAACAACAAAACTTAAGTCATGAAATGAATAAGGTCTTTAATGTTTCTAGTTAACCATGCAAAATCGTGAAACATAGAGGATCAAATCCATGGCTGTCACTCCAGAACCTAAGAATGCCAGTAATGGCACCTAAGGGATGGATCATAAGTCGTTTGAAAGTTTCTAATAAAACCCATTAAGGGCAAAATAGTCGTTTTGAAGGGTAAAGTGATCAAGATATAAATCAAGCTTATCGTTTTAGCTCAACTTCCTTCGGTAAGATATGTGCTTGCCGTAATCACTAGAGAACTAGTGAATTTAAATTGTTAAGAGCCCGTTTATTTCACGTGTTTAAACTCATAGTTTAATTTTGTTGTAGTATATTTTTCTCACAAAAAATTTAAATTTCAAATATTAAAATCAAGAATCACTGTTTTGAACGCATGAAATAAACGAGCCCTAAAAATCGCTAGGAGAGAGATAGTCATTTTAGAACCCAAGGGTGAAAATTTGTCAAAATAGAGAATGTACCTCAAGTTTTATCCCAAATATTTAAAATGGAAATCGTAGTAAATAATAGATTTGTGAAACTAAATTGAGCAAATGACAAATTTTAAAATTATTTGAAGTAAAGAAGAGTTTATCGTGTAAATGTTTCATTTGTTACTAGTAAAAAATAATTTACATAGTAAAAAACTCTTTATTTACATGAAAAAAATCATTTTAGTAGTCATAAAAAGAAAATTTACGTGTAAAAAAATCTTTTTACTAATTGTAATAAAATATTTACGCAGTAAACTATTATTTATTATTTATTTATTTACTTAATTTAGTTTCATAAATCTACTATTTACTCCATTCTCCTGAGAAAATAAAGTAAATAACATATTTATAGTAAAATAATTGAAGTGAATAGAAAATTTTAAAACTATTTGAATTAAATAGCAGTATAAATATTCTTTTTATGATTAGTAAAAAAATTTCTATGTAAATAAATTTTTTTTATCATGTAAATTATTATTTGTCAGTCGTAAATAAAATATTTATTTTAAATAATTTTAAAATTTACTATTTATTTAATTTAATTTTATAAATATGTTATTTACTGTAATTTTTATTTTAAATATAACCATTAGCCAATGATCCTTACGTAACCAAACCCAAATTCCTCAAGCATGACCTAATGGATTTTATGGGCCCAAAGAGCCCTTCGAATTTTTGGATCACTAGTGTTGTTCATCTGAATAAATGGGCCTATTGGGCTCAAATCTATTCTCTAACAGAAATCAATACTTATAAGGACTTAGAAACCGGCACAGAGCCTTTATGATAATTAGGGTTATGAGTAGAGCTGTGAGTTTAGATCAGGTTAAATAGACCGATACAAGACCCGCCACTATAGGTCTGAGGCTAATCTTGTCCGACTTTAACCTTCAGGCGGGGCCGGACCAGGGTTTTGAGCCTAAAATTTGATTCGGCCAGGCTGTACCGGCCCAAATACCTTCTTTTTAAAGTTTTTTATTTAAAAAATACCTTATACAATTATGGTCGGGCTGGGTTAGACCGTCTCTCTCTCATTTCTTAGCATAAAATTTCCATTCGGCGGCCCGGACTGCGCCAAGCCGTGTGGCTCGAACTTTCACCTTTAGTTATGAGGATTAATGATTGGATGATAAAAGTTTATAATTATGTAAGGAGATAATTATTTAATTAATCATTATAATTGGTTTTCTTCAAGGTTCCTCCAGAAAGATTAATTACAACAATTAATTAATTAATTTTAATTGGCATGTTTAGTTTGAAATTTCTAAACTTAATTGAGTAGTTAATAAAATATGATTAACTAATTTTTTTTGTTGTTGCTAAATCTATGAAAAATATTTGATTAATTTATACTGAATTTGTTAAGAGGCTAATTAAGTACTTAGGTGAGAAGAAACAATTGATAAGTCAAGTGATAGAAAGTAAGTTTAAGATACGCTCTAACAGGGTGTTCCAATCAGCACATAGATCTGATTTAAATTACACCTGAAGGGTAATTTTGAGAAAAAAGCTAAGCGTGATGATATGCCATGAAGTGTCTTGATATACCATGACGATATACTATAATAACATGTTATGCAGTTGTGTTATGCTTTTATAGAAATTATCTTTCATTGCTATGTAAGATGAATGTTTTGCCTCTAAATTATATATGCCATGATGGTACATGCATTGTTGTTAATGTGATAGGAAAATCTACTCATAATCACACCAGACGAAAAGAGATAAATGATAAGTTTTTTTGTTTATTTTATTTTTATTTTTTTAAGTCGTCGTATACAGCTCCGAATCACGGGAGAACATGAACAAGAACGATCTTTGACATGATTGCGTTGAGAGTGGTTGGGTGCAATTGAATGAAAATATTTTATAAAAAACCATAATTGGATTCCATGATATAAAATAACTAGATAATATCCATAATTATTATGCAAAAACTCTTGTGAGACTACTTGTTCATAGAAAAAGCTCAGCCATGTACGTTCTTACTGTAGGTAATCCGAGCAATAATCCTGTGTCTATGTATTAACATAACTAGTTCATCCTTTTCTATTTATTTTTAACAAAAAAAAAAATTCCAGACCACATGATAGCACTACTCCTTTTTTTTTTTTTTTTTTTAATGTTTTGGATAGAGATTCTAACTGAGTGGACTAAATGGGATTAATTTAAAATTTAAAAGATAAAGTGAGAGTTTTTAAAGTTTATGAGACAAACTGAAAATTACTTTAAAATTTAAGGGGCACTAATAAGATTAACCCTTGATTTATTTATGGTAAAGTTTAATAGTACAATGGGTTTTATAAGGAAACACTTGGGAAAAAACTAAAAATACCACACAAGATGGTAAAAAATATTATTTATGCAACTCTACTTACAAATAATTACTTAGGTATTAATGTACCATTTTAGAAGTCATTGTCTTTTGAACAATAACTTACACATTAAGTATACTGCTTGCTAGTACACAATAATGTTGTATAAGGTATTGGTACACCATACAGGTGTTCACCGATTAGAATTCTGCAGATCTAAGTAATAATCCGCAATCCAATTCAAACTATCAGATTTGGATTTTCTCAATCCGTATCTAATTTAAAACTTTTTTTCAATCCAATTCAATTCAAAACCGATCAAATTTTACGGATCAAATTCACGGATTCAACTGATTTAGGACATTTAAAGTTAATAAATACATTAAACATCCATACGAAATAATTAAACCACAAATTGAAGCCTTCATCATTTATTAATATTACTTTAAAGTTCAACATTTGCAACATTTATAACCCAAATAAAGTAATAAACACATAAGATAGTTCAACAAATTCCGAATGGTTACAACCCAGATTCAAAGTTAATGGGCTTGCCATTAAATTTCAATAATCGGAAAAATATTACATATGTACACATATTGTTTCAAATAATAATAATAATAATAATAAAACTTAACTTTAAAAATTATATGTATGTATATATAATGCTTTTTTTTTAAAGGTATATATATATATATAATGTTTTGGATTCATGGATTTGAAGTATTGAGAAATAATGCTCAATGTGTAAATAAATTTAAAACTTTCAGATTGAGGTTTTTCCAATTTAAGACTAATCCAAAACTCCTCTTAATCCAATCCAATCCGCTAGATTGAATTGGATCGGATTGGATGGATTGATCGGATTCATGAATTCTGTGAATATCCTAGTACACTATATTAGCGCTTCATATTGCGTTATTTAAGAATAGTACACGCTTGGCAACATATATATATATATATATATATCATATAATTTAATACAATACATACTATGAAATCTAATACCTAAAAAACCTATGTACTGAACCTTATTGTGTAATTTTATTTAAAAGACCGTATTAAAACCATATTGAATGTTTCAAAAATATGAAAGCTTGGGGTCAGGTTTGGGACTCTGGCGGTGTTGTGTTCATATTTTATAAAAATTATAATTTTACCCCTTAACTTTTTAAAAGTTTCATTTTAGCCCCTTAACTTAAAAAATATAATTTGATCCCTCAACTTTTATAAATTATAATTTGAGCCCTTAAATTTCAAAAAATTATATTTTAACCTCTCATTTTTAAAATTATATTTTAGTGCCATTTAAAAAATCATTGCAAAAAAGCTCCTATTGAACAACTCTACCTTTTCCCTCGCCTACCTCCTGACGTCGCGACTAAAGTCGAGCTAGGTTGGGATTAGGCCTCAATTTTATCTCATTTCATACTAATATGTAAATATAACAGGATGGTATGGTAAATAAGCATAGTATAATGTAATTTAATAATGTAATGTGATACAAACTAAACACCCTATTATATAAAAGTTATACAATTCAATACAATAGAATATATATGACAATAAAATAGTGGATTATAGTAGAATGAATTATGTTTTTTTTTTTTTTTAAAGTTATTCCCTGAAATGTTTGGAACCAAGATTGCTGAGATGTTTCAAGCAAGTTAAGTAATAGTCCTCACGGTTTGCTGATCAACAGTGCTAACAAAAGGACCAGCCAAATAAGATGTTGACTTTAAACTAAAATATGACCAAAGCTTTATCACACTTGGTTTGTTTCTTTTAAATATTACCTGTCATTTTGTAACCAACGTGGCAAAAAGAGAAAAGTTACAAAGAACAACAGAAAAAGGAAATCTAGATTGTGTAAAGTAGATAATTTCATACTCTACTTACTTGCATATGCAAAACCCCAGCAGAAGCCATCAACCCGGAAACAGCTCTCACCAATTTAGAAGCATTTCTTCTGAACACAGAGCAACTGAAATCTCTAAGAACTCTCGCGGAAAACTCGACGCTGGCAAGCTTCCTTTGCTGCTTCCACTTTTCTCCATTGACGGCAAATATCCCCTCGCCAAAGAGATCAGTCATTATGTCTTGTTCATGCTGGCCTCTCGAGTACTTGTCGAAGTTGGTTTTTAGAATGTGTTCTACATTTCGCGGATCGGTCGTGTAAACTTCGCTCTGCTCGGGGCCGAGCAATCGGTAGGTCGGAGACTTGGCGGCGAAGCTGGCTAGGTAGTCATAGAGCTTGTTGAAGTAGAAAAGTTGGTTGAAAACAGTGCCTTTCACAGGAGGGTAAGAAGGGTCATTCATGGACTTGCCTATGAAGATACTGATTATGAGAAAACAGAAGATCAGAAGAAGGAAAAGTAATGAAATGGAAATGAAGGTTAAGATGGTGTAAATTAGGAAAACCATGTTTAATTTGTTTGAGCTGATGAGATTGAAGATGGTGCAATTTGCATGGCAACATGAGTGTCTATATATATATATATATATATATATATATATATAACACTATTTATATATGTGTGTTTGTCCTTTTGTTTCATTTTGTTATTTAAGTATATTTCTATATATATGTGTGTTTGTCCTATTGTTTCATTTTGTTATTTAAGTATATTTCTATATATGCGTGTTTGTCTCTTTGCACGTGTTACATTATGATAAGGTTCATTGCGATAAGGCCACGTATGTGGTAAATAAAAGGCGACTCTAATTTGCTCGATTGGAAGGAGATGATTGCGCCTGTCAGAAGAGCAGATAGCCAGCGAGTGGTTGGGCTAAGCCCATCAGACGAGTGAACGGCCACCGACTGAAAATTCCGTTTTCGGAATTTCCTCATCAAAATATCAAAATTTCTAAGGCCTTGTTCGGCATGGGGATTTTTGAGTTAAAAACTTAAAAAAAGATAACTCGAGTTATAACTTTATTTGAGTTCATATTTTTTTAAGTTTAAATTTGAGTTTGAACTCGAGTTTAGAACTAAAACTCGAGTTCAAGTTTTCCCTTTAACTCGAGTTCAGAAACTCGAACTCAAGTTAATGAACAATATTTTTTCTATTCTTAAAAATGTTATAACTTTTTTGTTTTAATTCTGATTGAGATGATTTTTTTTTCTATGCGTTGACAACGAAAAGATGAATAAAACTAGACCCATATACCCTATTAAAATTTTTCATTAGCATTGAGTTTTTATTAAAATACTATCTAAAAATAAATTCAAGTTTTGACTTACTCAAACGCAAACTCAAAAAGATTCTTATCTCAAACCATAACTCAATATACACAACCAAACACAAACTTAAGTTACAACTTCAACTCAAGTTATAACTCAAACTCAACTCAAAATCTACACTCAAGTTACCTAACTCAAAAACACCAAAAGAACAAGCCTTGATTCCGAAATATCTTTTGAGTTTAGAAAAATTTGTGTCAAAATCATGGTAAATATCGGTAAAAAAAAATTTTGATTTTGATGAGCTTGCAGATTTTCCATAGAAGTTTGGGACATATTGGAAAGATACAGAGCCAATGTCAGCGAAAATATCAGAAAATTTCAGTAACATTTATGAACATTAACAATATATTGTAATTTTTTTCCCATTTTATCAACGTCATTGTCTAAATATTAGATTTTATTACCTTCTTATACTTGCACTTTATAGAATATCAATCAGTGTTGTTGCAATAATTCTTGAAGCATGATAAAATTCTAATCATGTTTAACGTTTGCAAGACTTTCTCATCCCTATAACCCAATCAAACTGCTTATTTTAGGTGAAATGCAAACCAAATTAATTATATATTGATTTAGAGATTTTCAAAGCAAACTAAATAAATTAAGAGATCTACTTCAATACAAACCAAACTAATTGTAATTGATTTAGTTTGATTTTTCTAATTAGTTTGAACTAATCTTTTACCATCTCTTCTCAAACCTCAACCATAATTAATATTAATATTTTGTATGATAGACATTCTATTTTTTAATTGTAGACATCAATAACTTAAGAATAAAATATACAATACAATCATAAATAAAGCATCTAGAGTTCTAAATTAAGTATCCTAATAGGTTAAGGTCTGTGGAAAGAGCTTGAGTGTAGAGAGTGGAGACAGTATTAGTATCATATACTTTTAAGATTATGATCATTCAGTTTTGGAATAAACAATTTTTTTTAATATAAATAAGTTGCAAATATATGAAATATATATACGTTTAGGAAAATATATATGAATAGAAGTTGGTTTGGTTTGATTTATTTTTTTAGAGGTAAAAGTAAAACTACAAATTAAATCAATTTAAATGATTTTTTAAAAATTTAAATCAAATTAAACCGCTTATTAATTGGTTTGTTTTGGTTTTCTTTTAATTTGTTTTGGTTTGTTGAACACTTCTGCTCTGTTCCAATCATATATAAAACTTGTTTATTTATATATAATTTCAATAGCCAAGGCCTTATCATCTGGAAGTAGGACCACAAGAAAATCTTGCCAAAGTTGAGAGAAATATCTGATCAAACTGTCAATCCAAATTGGGACTCTCACGACCCTACTGTGATTGTCTATTTCCTTTTTTTTTATTTTATAATTAAAAATAGTGAGATTTTTTTTTTGAAAAAATAGAGATAATTACACTATAGGAAGTTTCTGGTAGACATGAAAAACCAAATTACTAATACTTTTCTAATTTTCAATTGTTAGATATGTATTAAAAATTATTTATTTTGTATATTTTTTTAATCTGAAGTAATTTTAAGTAAATCTAACGATTAAAAATTAACACGACAAATAGACAGACGTATCAGAGAAAGTCTACACTATATGATAAAATTTAATTAAAATTTTAAAATATTTCAAAAATAACAAAAGTTACCTAATAATTATCATAATAATATCCACGTTCTAAATTATATAATTATAAAATTATTATTTTAATTATGTTCAGTTTTCTTATTTTAATTTTAATTACCTTATACGTACATATATGTTTATGAGAAAATTACAAAATTTATCTTTAAGAATCTACGGGTCTAGATTTTTACCTCTTATTTTTATTAATACCCTTAATTAGTATAATTATTTAACTAAAAATGCTATTAATCAATAGTAAAGAGTAGATACCTTGACACATGCACTTTTTAAGGGAAACTTCTCTCCTTTCCCTTATGTTTATTGAAGAATATTAAAGATCAACACGTGAGACTAGACCAGAAAAAAAAAATGGAGACTTTACTCTTGAGAGTGCATGAGTCTGAACGTTTACCCCTTACTCTTGATAAACACCATTTTGTTAGTGTATTTATTTGACTAAAAAGGTTATGAATCAAGAGTAAATAGTAAAAATCCTGACCGATACACTTTCAAGGGGTAGTTGTCAAGATTATCTTCAAAAAAAAAAAACTCTTTATCTTCTGATTCTTCCTTTCATGCCTCTGTTTATTCTTATTGGAATAGAGTTCCCTGCCTCCAACTGAACGAGACAATATCGATTTGCTAGATAAATCTTATCGGTATCCCCTGAACTTTAGGATCATTCATAGTTTACCCCATAAACTTTAAAAACTCTCATTTTACTCATTAAATTTTAAATTTATCCCATTTATGCCTTTTTGTAAGATTTTTTTTTGAAATCAAACAAAAAAAGAGAGGTATAAGTGTGGTTATATAGTTTTTTTCTGTTTGTTTTTAATAATAATTCAAATAGAAAAGCCACATGATTGCATTACTCTCTTTTTTCCATCAGTTTTTAACAAAAATTACAACAAAAGAGATTAAGTTGGAACAATACAAAGTTTAAAAGGTAAAGTGAGAATTTTTAAAATTTAGATAGCAAACTAAAAATGACCCTAACGTTCAGAAGACGCCAATAATAATAATCCAGAAAAGTAAATATGCAAGTCCAAGATATTTTGGTGAGGATATAAAAGTTCTTACATTTTCGTGAAGACATTTCAGATATTAGCTAGTTGAGAAGCAACACTTTTTTGCTAACTATGTTCTAAAATAAAATAAACATGTTCTTTTATATAAGAGATGCACATGATTACTTTGAAGGTCTTATCTATCACTAAACTTTCAAACAGAGACAAGAATTTCATTATAATCATATGTATTGTTGAGAATTATATATGTCTTGTTCTTTTTAAAATTTAAATTACAATATAAATTTTTTATTACAGTATTTTCTCTTATAAAATTTTAAATTCAACTTTTTACAACGTAAACTTAATTTTTGAAATATTCAAAGAAATATTCAACTCAAAGTAATACTTCGACTACATAAACCGTAGTTCAAAAGCCACCTGAAACAAATAGTTTAGCTGAAAAACAGTTTATCAAACTATTAGTCTCATAACTAAACAAATCCAAATTCCATAACCATGCTACGATTACAATGTCATTTGTAGGCAATTTCCTGCTACAAATGACATTGCGACATTAAAATGTAGAACACTTGAAACTCAACTATCAATTACATATACAGCCTGCGTGAACTTCGTGAGGGGAAGCGAAGGGGCGTAGTAGCCAAGGAGCCCACAACAGTGTGAATGGAGAAGAAAAGCGTTTCCCTTTTTTTTAAAAAAAAAAAAATGAAACGGCCACTAAGATTTAGTCTATGTTTATTTCACTTTAGTGATTACAATTTTAATTCATAAGTTTGAATTGTATTGTCTGTTTAAATTGAGACAAACTGTCTAATTTAAGGTTTAGCTCCCCCTTAAGTTTCACCATTCAAATTATTTTTGAACAATAAAAAAGTGCTCAATCTCTTGGTTTTTCATATCTATCAAACAGAAATTTAAAATTTATATTATGTTCAGATTAAAATTTAAACGTCAATTTAAACTATAATTTAAACCACACAGTTTAAATTATTCTGCTTAAACAAAAAAAGTTTAAATCACTAATTCAAAACCCACGGAGATTTAGGCTCCGTTTAGTTCACTGATTTTAATTTTTAATTTAAATTAAAATATAATTTTATGTGAGAATTTTTTACTGTAATAAAAAAATTAAATATAAATATTTTTAAATTTTTTTTACTATAATAAAATTTAAATTGGTAAAATAAACTCACCTTAAATTTTAATAAATACACGCACACAACCACTCAAAATTAGCGTGATGGAGAAGGGAAGAGCTAAACAGTGAACAAAGCGACTATAATGTTAAAAAAAGGAATTGAAAACAAACAAATTGTGCTTTGAAAATCATCTGCCACGACCCACGAGGCATCCTTAGACTCGTGGAACATAGCAACAAAAGACGCATTTGTCGAGGAAATGGCCTACTCCACAAAGAAGATAGCCGGCGTGTGGTCATTGAGCTAAGCTCATCCGATAGGTGAATGGTCCCTAGGCCATACCTGATCGCAGGTCAAATACATGACATCATTTTTTGACACGGGAAAT